CATATTTGCAACTAACTTTTTTTAGGACAGTGTAATTTTTTAAACAAAGAGTTTTTTCTAAGGGTTTTATTTTTTTTTTTTTTTTTTTTTTTTTTTTTTAACAATCGTTTGTTCATTTGAACTGTTTTGGCTACTAATTTGGTTGGTTTGTACTGTTTTGTATTCGAAACGCACGTAATGAATTATAATGCTTAAAAGAACAAAAATGATTGCATTTAGCCCATGATCGGTCTAAAAGCAATAAAAGCTTACTTAACAAGGACCATTTGTTCATTTTAACTATTTTGACTACTAATGCGGTTGTTATGGACTTGTTTTGTATTGGAAACACACCCACCAATCCTTAGTATTATAACATAGTACTTTAAAAGTGTAATGCTTAAAAAGAAATTAAAAGTAAAAAACGGAGTAGACCTCAAACTTGGGGCTATATTAGACATAAAAACAAAAGTACATGTTATATTTTATATTTTGCTGAATAAATGTAACAAAAAAAAAATAATAAATAAATAAATAAAAATAAATAAATAAATAAAAATAAAGGATAAATGTTTGTCAACAGTTTCAAATCCTATACGTACTTTTTTGCATTAGAAGTTTTAATGTAATAGGTAAATATTTATAAATATTACAAAAGAAGAGCACCTATATGCTTATCCGTGCATTGCACTTGTATAGTATTTATATAAGTGCTAAATGCAAGAAAATTACAACGTATTTTCGTTTAATATATTATTTGAATAAAAGTTTTAATGTTTGATTTATCATTTAATTTTATTCAAAAATATTAATGTAACAAATTAACATGTGGTTTGTTTGTGAACATAGGATCTACATAATTTCTTTTTCCATGTTATTATAAAGACGTATTAAAAAACTAAGCGTAAGACTTATATATTAAATGGATTAATTAAAAAATTAAATATAAAAGTCTAAATATTTAGAAACTTTGGATTTATAAGAAAATAAAAAAAATAATAAATTATTAAAATTGATTTTTTTATCTTTTGAATTTAAATAAATAATCAACATAAACTAATGAGCTTTAATTTGGTTATTTTGAAATAAGAAAATAAGTTCATTAATGAAATTTATATTCATTTATTACTACATTTATTGTAATTATTACATTAAAATATTATATAGAATTTATTAAAATAGAAAAACCTATAAAATGATATGTAGAAAATAACTTAATTCAAAATAACCATACAATGATAGTTGACAAATTGAATAAATGTGATATGTAACAAAAAAACATTCATTTATTAGAGTAGAAATAGTAAATGGGTACAAGGTTTAGTAGTTGTTTTTTAATGGTAAATGACATAAAAACCCCTAAGTTTACAAAAAAATGTTGATTTTACATCTGGACATGTTTTAGGTTCAGTAAAGTCAAATGTTTTGTTTAATTTGTTTATTTATACTATTTTAGACGGTTTCCAGGTAACTAACCCGTTTGGTCAATACAGGTCAAAGTCGGAATTAATCGGACCTAATCGGGCCTAATCGGACTTAATCGGACCTAATCGGGTTTGGTCAACGCAAGTTAAAGTCGGACCTAATCGGCCATAATCGGACCTGATCGGACCTAATCGCCGATTAATCACTTTTTTTTATAGGATTAAAATTAGATTTATAAATTTTTGAATAATTTTCTTAATAATTAATGGTCCCCGATTAATCTTCCGATGAATCCCCGCCTAGCCGATTAATCCCTAATCGCTAGTCCACCGATTAGCAGCCGATTAGCGACATCTACAACCATGGTTTATATGTATTTTACCATATAAATATGAACAAATACATATCATATACAATTAAATATATTTTAAATCTATAAAAAAATTTATATATTTACAAACGTATTGAAAACCGACATTCTTTTTTGAAAACTCAAGGGCTTTTGCTTTATACTTTAATACAATTGTAAGTTTTAATAAAGATGATTGTAAGTTTTGCTTTATACTCTCTTTTTATTTTAACCCGACAACGTAAAATACAATTATGCGAATGAAAAATTGAAATGAGTGCACAAAATTCATTTTTAATTCGACAATGTAAAATACAATAGAGAGAGTACCGTAGATGGTCTGCTATTCCTATTTGCACCTCTTTCGTATGTAACCAAACTACACCCCATGTTTGATTAAGATGAGGTAAATCCATAATTTCTTGGTGCAAGGAAACACTGATTTCTAAACCAAACTAAGATAATAATTGAAGTACAAAAGAAATCAAAGTATTTTAGATGGCAGAACTTTCTCCAATTGAAGAAAAAACAAATGGAAACCAAAACTCTACGCACCTAATGTCACATGTGCTTAAGTAACTTTGAGTTTAAGTCGATTAATCAAAAGAAAGTTGAATATAAAGCTATATATACAGAGAATTAGGGTTTGAGGGTGAGAGATAGAACGATGAGGGATTTGGAGATTGTTTAGAATGAGATTTCATTCCTGATTAAATGACATTAGGACAAAAGTTTCTTAAGATAATTTTAACGCTGAATTTTTAATTTGTATCAAACTATCAATCAAGAAAATCAGCAAGGATTGAAGAGCAAAAACATTGAGCGGGATCATAGGGATTTCATTCGTTTATTTTCCGACCAAATATTTTGTTTGAATTTAGAATAAGGGTAATTGCTGATTTTTAGGGAATGTAGAAAAATAAGTTTAGACAAGAAAAAATAAAGTGAGGAGCTCCAAATGATTGACATGTGGCATATAATAAATTTGAATTCGTATACACGTGACAAATGAAAACTACTTTTTTATTACGTAGGGTAAATGAGTTAAAATAAAGACCAAAAATTCTTTAGAATATTGAAAAACACTTATCTAGTCTTAATTTGATTGTTTTGGATGTTAACTTTTTTATTAACCGTTTGAGTTAAATTATGGTTGTTACTAAAAAAATCCATATGGTAGGATATGTGTGTGGGAAGGTCAACACCCATTACACCCACACATATATGGTGGTTCGTTTAAGATACTCTTGAATTATTTATAAATTAGTTTATAAGCTATTACATCAAACACAATATTTGTCTAACTACATGTTTGGAATTGCTTATTTGAAATGCTTATGGATTTATTCCAGTTTGACACTCATAGTAATGAGTTTTTAGTGCTTGGAGAAAAAAATTGCATAAGCACTTATCGACTTAAATAATAAGTTTTTGATAAGTCGTTTCCTACTCACTTACTGATTTTTTAAGGATTTTTTAATAAATTATTTCATTATTGCACATAAAATACAACTTTGCTAAACATTAAAAACAATTTATGAACTTATTTAGTTTTGATACCAAATAAGTTAATCCAAACATTTTTTTCTAAATCTATATTTTAACACCGAAGAAACTAATAAACATTGTTATAAGTAATCATAAGTTGTTTTAAATAAACAAAATTAACTATTAGCAGGTAGTTTGTAGCTTGTAACGTTTTGTTAAACACTATATGAAATAATATTTGATTTTGGAGCGTTTTGTTTAAATTAAACATTAGAAACTTATAGTATCAAAGAAGACTTCCTGTTCAATCATAACCCAATTACTTAATTAAGAGATCCTTTTGATTAAATGGTAATCACTTTGACTTATTAAAATAGGTTAACGTTTGTCGATTATTATTATTATTATTATTATTATTATTATTATATATATCTTTACTACTTATAAAAGAAATCTAACTATTTCTATAAATAGATTGAATATAATAATATTATTTTTTAAGACGTCCAAACTATTAAGCTTGAAGTACAACCCATTTATAATATAATAATATTAAAACTTTAACCTTATCCTTTATCCCCTAAAAATCTCGTATCAAATTAATAGAAAAATTAATTTGCAAATTGAACCCGTCAATCTCAACACTTCAGCCATTTGAAGCGGTCAATGTCAACAATTTATAGAGGATCTTTTTTCTCACATTGGTAACAAACCATCTCATAATATTTATCTTCGTAATCTCTTCAAAGTAAGAAATATACGCACACTCTCTCGAAGAACCTTAACCAGTAACCAAGACAGTATAACCACCACCACCACAGCCGCTCTGCCTCCTTCCGCCTTCAACCAACCACTATCACGACTACCGTCATTCCTCTCACCCACGGCATGAACTTTCTTTTGGAACATAATATTTTTCTTTAAAAAAATATCGTTGAAAGAAGCTATTTGTCCCCGCTGCTGTGCGCGGGTAACGGCTAGTATATATATATATATATATATATATATATATATATATATATATATATATATATATATATATAAGTTATGAAAACACTACTTTGTGAAAATTTCTTTTTTCAATTAATGTTACAACATTCACCCTTCAACTTTATGTTTTTATTCACAAACAACCCTTTCACTTTCGTTCGAATTTTTCATAACCTTAGTTTTTTATTACATATTATTAGTATTTAGTCATATTAATATTTTTTTTGGTAGGAAGGGTCCCTCAACAATATTTGGGTCATTTTAAAGTTGCTTACCTTTTGTCTTTTTTGGTCCCTCTACTTCCGTTGGTTATTTGTGGCATTATAGGTTTCTATGTTTTCGTTTAATTGCCACTTTATTAGTTTTGCTTATAGATTCATTGATGTTTTTTTATTTCTTATTTATTTGTTTGTTTATAGATCGGTTAAAGAAGGAAGGAATGAACAACTCAAACTATAAACATTTTCAAAGAACAAATAATGGAAAAAATTATCGCATCCGACCCCGCAACACGGGGGTTCCCCATCTAGTTATTATTATTATTATTATTATTATTATTATTATTATTATTATTATTAGAAAAAAACAATAAAAAAATAAAATAAAAATAACTTTAAGGTCGAAAGGTCATAATATCAATAGTACAGGACTCGAGGTGTAACTTAACTACCGTTCGTCAAGTTATTGCTTATTACGATTTACGAACTCCCAAAAGCCCTAACCCTAACGTCACACAGAAAATTTTCAATCGGAGGAGCTCACAGTAAAAATGGTAGCAACGGATTTAAAGTCGGAGATCAAGAAACTGATGGAGAAAAGGAGCGGTTTGGAAGCGGAGATGAACGTTATCATCGAGCGTCTTTGTCAGCCCGGCGGTCCTGGACTTTCCGGCAATCTCGTCGACTCTGAGGCAATTACTTCTCATATTTCTTTGATTAATTATAATCACTGTAATCCTATCGAATTCGTTTATGTTCAAACTTTACTTGAAGAGGAAGAAATTGCTCTCTGAATATAAAATCGATATCACGAGCATTTACCATTGGAGCTCACTTGAATTTCTTGCTTTCTGCAGGGGTTTCCAAGATCTGACCTCGATATTCCAGTAGTGCGAGCAGATCGACATAAACTTGCAGGTTTGTGACTTTGTTCAGTATCATTCTCATCATATTGAGACATTAATCTCAATCCTATTAATATGTTACAGAGCTTCGAAATGATCACAAGGATACAACTGACAAAATAGGCCACAAAATAGAGCTTCTGCATTCAGCACGCGTGACTCCTAAATCCTCATCTGCTATGGACACTGGTTCCAATAGCCAAGTTGTGCATGATATGTCTGGAGGCTCGATCAGTGTCATGGATGTGGATGTGGATGTGAGCAGACCTTTCGCAATGGTGGATGAGATCAGTGAGGAATCCCCAGCAGCAGAAGATGGGTTACAACTTGGAGATCAAATTGTTAAATTTGGGAATGTTGAATATGGTGATAATTTGCTACCAAAGCTTGCTTCTGAAGCACAGATGAATCAAAACCATCCTGTTTCTATGCTAGTTATGAGGCAAGGGACGTCAATTAACTTGACTGTTACTCCTAGAACATGGCGAGGTCGTGGCTTGCTTGGGTATGTAACTTTCTTCTCTAAATATGGTTTCTTCCTTCTGTGTTAAGTTGAAGAAAAAATATCTATATGTGATATCTATATATACTTATATAGCTCAAGTGTAAAAAGGAACACAGTAGCTAACTCTGATATACTTGTTCCTGACTTCTTGCAGATGCAATTTCCGGATCTTGTGAATTGTAATGTAATGGATGTTCATTAGGCTCTTGGGATTTGTACAAGAGCTTCATATGCATAAGTGTAGCAAGAAACAATGTTAGTTGAAACTTGGATATCTTTTAGTCATGTAATAATGTTAAAAAAAAAAAGTTTTCTAGGCTTGACTGCTTTTTGTTCATCCAATGACGAATGCAAATGCTTGATATGGTGGTGTGGATGTGTTTTCGGTTTGTTGCTATCAATCTCTTATGAACTTGTAAATTATAGACAAGTTTCTATTTAACAAAATTATAAATAATTACATCCATATTAATATATTAGCTAATTATATCATTTTCCATGTCTATCTATGTACGACTTTGGTTCAAAAGAAATTGCACAACATCCAACAAAAACTCTTATATTATCCATCCATTACACATCTAATACATAGATTAAGAATAATCTCCCTTCTTTTTGTTGTTTAAACGCCTCTAAAATCCAATCCAAGCATCCAATATTGAATCGGTAGATTATAGATCATCATCATTTTTATAATTGTTAATAGAATTGCTAAATTCATTCCCTCCATCCAATACCTAAGACTACTACACAACAACATATTTATATATAACCTAAACCATAATGAACCAAAAGGGTTATTTAATTTCAAAACCAACACTCACAAGTGTTGGAGTAGATTCAATCCTCTTAACCGATTCAGCCCCAGAAACTTGCGTTGATAACATGTTAGAAGAAGATGAGAAAGTAACAACACCATGAGCATGAGCATGAGGATGACCACGTCTTTTCTTTGGCACAGGCTTATCATGATCATGAACTCCTTTATATGTTATTACTATATTCGATGTTCCATCAATCGCCTTTTCAATGTGTTTTGTCACCCCACATCCCGCACATGTACACTTGTAGTAGTTCCTAACCACAAACAAAACAAATCAATCAGTAAGCATTCAGCATGTTTGATGTTTGATACAGCTATTAACTTTAATAGGTTGGAATCATTCAGCACTAAATGGACCTGGGATGAGGATTTCCTTTCACCATCTTCTGTCCATACTTCCTCCATCTGTAACCATCTGCTGATATTTCAACATCATCGGCTGCATGAACAGTAAACTTTGGTTTTTTTGGATTTTTCAGAACACAACCATGGCTCTCTCCATTGCCTTTGCTTTTCTTCACTCTGTTTATGTGTAATCAATATTATTATTAATACCATGTATAATGAGGAAAAAGATAATAGCATGACTTTAGTAGTGAACTTGCCTCTGGTTTTGTTGTGAATTGCTTGATTTCAATCCAGGTGTTGAGATTGATTTTCTTTTTGGAGATGATAAAATCTTGCTTCCATTAGAGACTATTTTCGTAGGTGGATCATGTTTGTGTTGGCCTTTGTAAACTAACTTTGTGACAGAATTGTATTCATCACATGATTCCATCTTCTTAGCATCACAATCACTGTATGTACATTTGTAGTAGCTTCTTGAGCCTTGAGGACTTTTCACCTGTTTCTGACCATATTTTCTCCAGTTATATCCATCAATCTGTGTCTTAACGTTGTGTGAAGCAGATAAAGATCTAGGAACGTCAATGGTGTTGTTCTGCTTCACTTCTGCCACATCAGCATTATTCAACTGAATTTGCCCTTGTGAATTTGAAGTCTGAATCTTGGAACGAGCACGAGCAGCTTGAGCTATAACAGTTGCTAGGGCTTCTTGGTGACTTCCTTGAAGTTGATTCTGAGTGACGAAATCAAATAGAAAATATTATGTATGTAATGTAACTGCGATTCTTCTTAATTTCAGTATCATGATCAAATTGAAGCTTCCGATTACTTAATGGATAATGTAAAATGCACAAAATTGAATCAGGTAGTGGTATACCTTCAAACGCTCCAACTCATCGCGTTGCATCTCGTATTTTATAGGCACCTCTGACAAATCTAAAACACATACGCATACTTCAACAGCAACAACAGAATCGGTTAAGTATACAGAAAATCGAACGTAACGTACCAGATACTGCTAGGGTTAGAGATTGAGAAGTAGCTGAATCTTCCTCGGGTGACATAGGAGAATACTTTAATGGAGTAACGTCACTCTGATCATCATCGTCGTCGTGGTCGTTATGCATCGTATCCTCCGCTGTTGTATTTTCTTCCAGTTGTGTTGCTTCGGAGCTCCGATCACTGTCATCATCCATGGCGGAATTTGGGAATCAAGTAGTGAAAAAAAAACGAAAATTTGATGGGATTTCTTTGGTAAGAGTGTCAAGTGTGAGTGATTGTCCGGAGAAGAAAAGTCATTTTGGCAGGGCCCGTAACTCTGTAAAATGTCAAGTACAATAGTAATAATCGCTCTAGAAAGCAAGTCTAGAGCATAAAAATGTAAAGTATTTTCACTTTTTTACCCTTTGGGTTTCATATATATATATATATATATATATATATATATATATATATATATATATATATATATATATATATATATATATATATATATATATATATATATATATATATATATATATAAGCATAAAGATTTTACATTAATTAAATACTTAATAAATATTTTATAAATAGATATTTTGCATACAAAAATGTTTTTTTAGAAAAAGTTTTTATATATAAAATATAAGATTTTCTATGTGAATATATATATATATATATATATATATATATATATATATTTTGTATAAATATGATTTCATAAAGAAAAACACATTTGAAATAAAATTTTGAGAAAAATGAAAGTTGTAAAAAGAAAAAACTAAAGTTAGGATGAACTCATAATAAAATTCTAAAATTTGTACCACAAGGGTAAATTTTGGACCAAAATTGTAATAAAATTTAAAATCTGAACCAAAAATGTAAATTTGGACCAAATTTATAATAAATTTGGAAATTTAGGCCAAAAATATAATTTCCGAAAGTTGGATGACTTTTTAACTAGGTAAAATGGTTAAATTGAATACGATTACCGGTTTTTGAAATTTAATTGAATAAAAAAAGATATAAAGACTAAATCGATTATAAGGCCAATATGTAAGGATTTTATTATAGTTTTCCTAATGAAATAACTAAATAAAATACATTATATAAATTTAAAGAGGTGAAATTACTACTACTACTAATAATAATAATAATAATAATAATAATAATAATAATAAAATCGATTTATTTAATATAAATATGTATTATAAGTCATGGGGGGATATTATGTAATTTTCTGAAATAAGTTTTGAAGAGATATCTCAATTTTAGGGTAGGATCTTTCATTACATGAAATTACAGGGACCGAATCTATCAAAGTTGCAAATCTAGTTGCCTTCTTCCTTCAGAAGATACACATATTGGTTTTTTTACAATTTTACCTTGGAAATTCCAACACAAAGCCAAGTGATCTCAACTCTAAATAATACATAAACCCCATACTTTCTCTCATCGTCAATTTTCCACAAAGTTGATGAGCCGAGCTCAGCACGTCGAGTGGTAGGCCTAGTGTCCGACGAGGTCGCTGATGTTCCCGTCGAAGCTACTCCATCCGGTCTTATGGATGCTAGATTTGCAATTTTAATTATACATCAGAAAATATCAAATCAAAGTATATTTTTAAAATATAAAAATAAAACGATTTATTTTTTGAATTAAATAAAAAAGATGTATGGTTCATGTGGTTTATAGTAATCTGCATGTTTGGTGCCTAAAAACTTTTTTTTAACTCGAACAATCTCTGCTTTATATTTTTGTTGAATGTTTGGTCATTGTTTGTTCTTAAAAAGACTATTATATCCTTATAAAATTTCAACCATTTTAATCATTTATTCTATTATTAATAAATAAACTAAATATAATATAAAATAAAATAATAATGAATAAAAAATCCTAAAGTTAATCCTTCTTTCTCTCAGCTCTTCATGCTTCACCTCCCTTCCTTACCGACTCTCACCCTCTTTGTCTCTTTTCCGTTACAGATTCCGGTGACCTTAATCTTTCTCCTCTATTGATCGTCTTTTAGTCGCCACTTCCTTTTGACCTTCTATTTCCCTCTCCAATCGTTCATACACACTTTTTTAATACAATAACCTAATTTGAAACTCAACACAATTGAGAACTAAACCAACGTGAAACATAATGAAAGCAGACACCAGGGAGAAGGGAAAAATAACGATGGTTGATGGATTTTCTAAAAATTGATTCTCTCACACACACATATATATATATATATATATATATATATATATATATATATATATATATATATATATATATACAGAGAGAGAGAGAGAGAGGTTTTCTGAAATCGGAAACAATATTGATGTATGGAAACTGTGATATGTTCACCTGTGTACTAATTCTTCTATCTCCAAGTTTTCCTAAATTGTTGGGTAAATTACACAGATGGTCCCTGTGGTTTAGGGTAAGCTACGTTTTGGTCCCTAATAATTATTTTAAACTCAAGTCATCCTTACTTAATATGTTTGCTGCACACGTGGTCCCTATATGTCCTAAAAAGACTATTTTGCCCTTAAAAGGATTTTTTAGTTTTTTCATTTATTAAAAATAATAATAACTAAATTTATGGTCCACCCTATTTACACATTCACCTCGTTCCTATACCCCTGTGAAAACCCCAATCCTACGTTCCGCGAGATCTTCCTCATCTTCTTTTCTTCTCCACCGGCAACTCTTCACCATCGTAATACTCCCGTCATCATTAAATTGATCCCCACCCAATCTCTTTCCTGCTCTAACATCGACACCCTCATATCACATCCTTCTTTCCTCGAAAACCCTACGCCTCTGACGATTCATGGTATGTAGAGCCAAATAAAACAGAGATGACTTGTTGTCTCTCCTAAATCAAATCGTTAAAGGAATCAAAATACTAGTTTCAAGTGAGTAAAATTTTTAACCATAACCATCGATTAGATCATTAAAAGATTTAATTTACAGACCTGCAAATTTAAAAAACAAAAGATTTAAAGGACTCAATTTGCTAATCTGAAAGACTCAGTTTATGCATAGAGATGAATTACAGGTGATAACTATGTCGGTAGTTTTGGGCATCAGGACACATCTCTTTTAAGCATTTCATCAAACACATCTTGTGCAACTCAAGTGGACTCCATTTTTTCAGCACCAATCACAAAGTTATATCCAGATTATAGTATCCTATATAATCAATACAACATCACACGTCATGTATAGTTAATACAAACACAACTCGCACAAGAGACCTGAGAAATAGAGAGAACCAATAACAACAGAAAGAGAATCGGAGATGGGTAGAAGAAAGGATTGGAATTTGTTTTTTTATTCATATGATGTTACTTGGAAGGAAGTTTCACAAATGACACCCTCATTTTCAATTATAAATGTAGCTTTGTGGACTCCATTGTTCCCGGCGATGGTTGGATCAAGTAACATCATCAGTACTTCGCGAGGTTGGAGGGTTGTAGGTATGTTAGAAGGATGTAGAGTATATAGGCGGTGGTGGATGGTTGTCGTTAAAGTTTTCCGGCAAGAGAAGACAGATGCTTAATCAACGATGGTATCTCCGACAAGGTGTGAGGTCGGTTGTCGGTGGAGTCGGTGTTAGAGAGAAAAGATGCAGGGATGAAGAATTGAAGATGGGTTGCTTTAGGTTTAAGTCTTTTTGTTCTTTTTATAATTTGTTTTAATCTATATATGTTATTCATATAATAAAACAAATAAATTAGAAAAAAATTATTAAGGGAAGTATAGTCATTTTATCTCGGACAAGGACCAAACATGTAACAAAAAATATTTTAAGGGCCGTTCGAGTTAAAAAAAATTGTTAGGGACCAAACATGCGGATTACCCTAAACCACATGGACCATTCATGTAATTTACCCTAAATTATTTGGATTGTGATTTATTTGCCTAAACTATCAGATCTGCATGTGGTAGAGGTTTTTGATAATATTTTATGTTGTTTTTGCAGGTTTCGGTGACGATGGACGACGATGTTCAGGTAACATAAGGTGCAATGGTGGAGGTTGCAGTGATGATAGGTTGTGGTGACAATGATGGGTGGAAGTGATGTTGGAAATAGATGTGGTGTTGGAATATGTTGGACAAAGAAGATGTGGGATTTGCAGGTTTGAAGATCCGATCTCCCAAAGCGAGATCCGATTTGCAAGTTTGAGAATAGAGCTTGAAATCCAGTTTTGTTTCAAAGTCTTGTGTTGTGTATGTAATCACTGAAAACATAAAGGGGCAAAGGTGTACGCCATAATGGGAAGGAGGGGCGGTGGTCAGAGAATGAGGGGGTGTTGATGATGGAGTTCCTGAGGTGATAAGGAAGTAAGAAAAGAATAAGTGGGCCCACACATATAATTTTTTTTTATAATAATTTAGTTAATAATACACAATAAGTTAAAATAATGTATAAGGGTATATTGGTCTTTTTATGTTGGCCGGGGGCCAAAATCGCAACAAAAATATTAGGGACGGTCTAAATTAAAAAAAATTATAAGAACCAACCGCATAGACTACTCAAAACAACAAAGATCATTCATGTAATTTACCCTATGATAAATCTATTATATTTTTAGAGTTGTTGTAGCTATTTAATAATAATAATAATAATAATAATAATAATAATAATAATAATAATAATAGTAATAGCGACTTTCTATTTAGAAAGATAAGTATTTAAAGAAAATATGTAAAATGTTGCCCATTTATTTCATTATATGATGTTATTAATTCTAAACTTCTTATTGAATAATATTTATTTTTGATTGGTTGGATTTTTGTTTTTTCTTTTAATTTATTTACTTTGTGTCTATTTTTTTTTTTTTTGTGTCTATTTTTTTTTGTTGTTTATTCCATTTGTTTATCCAGTTATATATTACACGTGGTGTGAGCTCCATAGATACCGTCTTGGCATCGTCATCGCTTCCTTTCACCGTTTCCTGCCACATGTCACTGACACATGTTGTTTCATTGTTTTTTCTACCGCATTGATTTTGCTCTAACCCATATCCAATCCTTCTAACACTCTCGCCTCTGCTTTCCTCCACTAGATATCGATTTTGCTCTAACCTATCTCCAATCCTTCTCCAACACTCTCACCTCTGCTTTCCTCCCCTAGATATCGATTGTAAATGCAGTTCGTCCTAAACCCCAAAACCACAAGATACAACCATTCGGAACTGTGTCTGCAACGACTTCTAGCCCTAAACATCATCATTCAGGCCTTCAGACGGAAACATCGAATGCGATGTAGTCCAAGCCTAACGATCTTCGGCTCCAATTCCGGTTATTCGGAGTGATCCCTTCTACACATTGACGCATGCCTTATCACTGATATTGTGTCCATTGTTTTGATTTTCAATAGTGTAGAAGAAATCAGTGCAACTATAGTCGCACCAGTGATGATGACACTTTAATCTCTTATAAGGTTCGTCGTCTTTATATTGTGTTTTTCTTGAATCGATTCTTAGGAAACAATAATTAACATGGGGTTTCTTTTTCTTTTCATTGTAAATGATTCATTAGAAGTTGGTTTGTGTAAATAATTGATTTAGGTCTGACCGCCTCATCTAATTTTCTTTTAGATGTTTCCACCGATTTCAGTCCCTCACCAGGGGTTATTATTTTAAAGATCATCTGTTCCTCAGGCTGACTATCCACCGCCTATAGCACGAACACGCTTTCCTCTACGTAGAAATCATCAAAAAATTCTAGGTTTGGGTTTCTCATTTTCAAAATTATAGGTTCAGGTTTGTCATTTTCATCGTTAGAACAATTCGATTTTAAAAACCTACTTATACTTGGTAGGGAAGATGTTTTTGGTTAACTAAAGTAGTGATGCTATTGTTTTGTTTTGCAATTTATGAAATGGAATCTGATGTAGAAGGAAGCACACCCAAAATGTAACTGTTGTTTATCATTTTAGAGCACCCAACCCAACCAGGTTTGTTTGTTTTTTTATAATTTTTCTTGATCGTACCTTCTCTTTGGTAATTCTTTTGTTCAATTTTTAATATGAATTTGGTACTTTTGTTTTTTCGGGTGTATGTATTCAGCGTTTTGGGTATGTGTAAAGCTGGTAAATGTAAGATGAATGTTTCTTATGTGACCTTGCATTTACTTCAACTTCATGAGCTTTCTAATATGTATATGCTTGCTTCCTTTTGATTGCTTTAAGGTTTGACCTTCTTTCTTTCCGACATGAAAAGTATGATGCCATTATATTTAGGAAAAAAAGAATGTAATACCAAATTGGACCAAGTGATTTTTTTTATTGCTTGTCTTCATGAATTTGAAAGCAATTGGTTAAGTTTTTTGTCAACAGAAGTCAAATATGAGATAGATGATGCTAAAGATCAAAAGGCATTGGAAGACATTATGAGAGAACATAGTGGTATCCATAAAGTCAACCTCAACAACAACAGAAGATGCAATGTGAATGTGACACATACACGTTAATCAATGAAATCGAATAAAAAATAGAAAGTTAAAACAATGTATGTATAGATAGAGACTTTTTTTTTTTTATCAAAATATGAATTTGATCTTTTTTTTGGTTGCAGGTTTGCTGCGGGTGTTTGGACAGGTTTGACATTGGGAGCAGGTTTAGTGCTTGATTAATGCTTCAAATTGTTCATTTCAATTAAATCTTCAATATCTAGGTTATTGAATGTGTTGCATTGCTTTTGGGTGTAATGAGCAACGACTTGAATATTTTCTAAGTCATGTGATTTGGTTTGATCAAAATTGGAGTCAAAACTATGCTAAAATGTTTGAAAATGGGATTATACATTTGATTGATAATATGTCTATTTCTATATGAAATACATAAAATATATTTTATTTGTTTTTAAGCATCAATCTTTCGGAGTCAACCAACATAGAATCCTACTTCATTGACCCACAAAACATCGATAAAAAAATCCAACCCATGCAACGCACGAATCTCTTCACTAGTTGATATTATTTTAACTAATTTGAGTTTATTATTATTTTTTCATCAATATATGGGAAAAAATAACGTCTTGCATCACATCATTATTATTATTATTATTATTATTAAAATATAGTACTTTTATAATTTTTGTACGACGCTAATGATAGATTTACTTATTTGTTTAATATATTTCTAATACAGGGTCGTGTAAAAAGCCCGTTGGTCAATAATATGATTTTTCATAAGAGTACGTGTTGTAGATAAAATAAAGAGTTATTAATTTGAATTGTCAATAATCAAATAAGATATTATTTCATCTAATTGAATAATCTGACATGAATCGTACAAAATAATGACAAAAGTAACTATTTAATATGAAAAATATTAATCATCTTAATGATGACGATTGTCATGACATATTTATATTGAAACGAGCCAAATTAGGACAATCTAAAAAAATAACTAAATAAACAATTGAAATGAGTTAAAACATGTGATGCAACCACGTCCGGAGCATGGTTAAGTACCAATTTAGAGGTTGTTTCGCAGTTTAGTCGATCAGCGGCAATCTTCAGTTGGACCAATAGCTTTTTCATTAGTTGAATTAATATTAACTAGAAAAGGGCACGTGGCAGATTGTCCATCTTTTCTTTTATCTCGGGGGAAATACGATCGGGAGGGGCTAATTCAAAACCCTTTGGTAAAATAAGAACAGCCCCCACATTTAAAGCCCCTTTTTTACCATTAGCAAGAACTTGTTTCAGTTGCATATCATAAGGAATTCGAACAACTGCTTCAAATACAGTATCGGGAAGTACCGTTTGCGGAACCTCAATATCCACTGGTTTATTAGCTACATGGCAATTGGCGCATACAATACGTCCAGTCGCTTCTCGTGGATTTTCATAGCCCTTCTGTGCAAAAATGGGATATGCATGGCTCCGTCGCTTTTGTACTATGTCATATAAGATAAAAATCGGCAAACTCTAAAAGATGTGTTGAAAGTATAAATCGCCACAAATAGGGAAGAAAGCCGACAATCCCTAAAATTAGATGTCGAAAGTGTACAAAAAAAAGAACACTGATAGAGAAAAACCAAAAATGTTGTGGCTATAATATGAAAGTTGCGAAAGTTTGGAAAATATGGTGGGAAAATTTTAAAGAATGTTTTTTGTGTTTTTTATGTGGAAATGTAAAAGTTTTGACTCTAAGGACAAAAAGTGTCAAACTCATTAAAGATTTGTGGTAAAAATACCAAAATATAAAAGTTTTGATTGTAAGGACTAAAAGTGTCAAAATCACAAAAGATTTGTAGTAAAATTCAAAAGGCACAAAAACTTAATCAGAAGTAAAAATGTAAAAGTTTTGATTTTAAAAACCAAAAATATCAAATTCACAACAAATTTTTTTAAGGGCAATAGTTGATATATAAAGAAAATTTTATGGCAAATAGTAGGAAGAGCTAGAACTTTAATGTTCCTAAGCTCCATTAGCTTTAATATATACTAGTGAAGAGACCCATGTTTCACATGGGTCAGAATGTATTTTTTTCACCTAATAATCATTACATGCAATTCAATAAAGAAAATTCATTTACACTTACATATGGAAAAAAAAAAAAAAAACGCAACCATAAAAGTGGAAAAACAATTTTTTTTTTCATTTCTTACGCATCATCCCCTCTAAAAACTTTTAATGGTGTATGAGTTTTTGAGATGCTTTCCATCCCATTCTGTGCTACTAACATAAGATGTTTTTATAGTGAATTATTTAGTAGTATATAATAGTATCCTGTTGAAGTTGGAAGATGAGGTTTTAGTTGGTGCAGTTCAAGATGTTGAATTTCTGGAAGATTATCAACCTCCATGGGTATTTCTCCTTTAAGTTATTGAAACCTAAGTATCTATAGTTATATTATAGGTAAAGAATCAAATAAAAAGATCATCTCATAAATAGTTTATACAAAAGCATATATCCTAAAAAAGATAAAGAAAATACTTATATGTGTGTTAATTCCTCTTACCCTTGGATCTGCAAGCAAAAAGGGTACATTAGACATTTGTCAGGCACCCAAAACGATTTCTTGAAACTATAATCCTAATAAAAACTTTGTTATACTTTGACAGGCACACGTTAATCCAAGAATGATACTTACTTAGTACCATAGTCTTCTTTCATCTGATTTTGTAGTTCTTCAGCCTACAAATCATGGTTGATTCAATATCAATTCAATAGTCCATGTGTTTTGTAATATTATAATGCTTAATCCAATATAGTCAATACGATGGGGAATACATCTTCAAGAAAGTATAGATTCCAGATTGTATATGTACCAGGTAGATTTTTTCAGTTAAGCATTTCGCCAAACAGTTGGTAGGCATAATAACATCTAAACTTCTAAGCATAAATAGAGTGCACCACTAAATAGAGATTTGGGGGCTGTTATATTTTTCCACTGACACCTCCAACTTGGCAGGTGGTTACTCCAGGACCCAGCTCTATTACAACTCCGTGTACCTCCATACCTATAACAGAAAAGAAATTATGAAGTGGTTACAATAAACCCATATAAATTTGTCAAAATCATTATATAAACAACAAAAGAAGAAGACATAGAAAAGTAGAATGGATTTAAAAGTCAGGGGTGGTGGCTTCTTCAGGAGACCAACAAAGAAGGAATCAAATATTTAGGTCTGCTACTATCCTAAGAAAGACTGATCACAACGAAGACTGCGATTGAAGTAGTCTGCAATCTCGACTGATTTTGAGACAAAGGGGATGAGGTGTTTTATGAAACAATGAGGTTTGTCACCAAGAATTCTAATCGAATTGGGTAAATATAAGAAAACACGAACCTGGAAGAGTGAGAAACGACGGAGGATATGATAACCTTCGAACCTGTAGATTATTCAACAAAATACCCAATTCGATAATCAATGATCGGTTTTTAAATTCAAAATAGTTGAAATAAGTTGTTAGTTCACGAAACTCGGATGTTCAAACTTCAAAATTAGGTGAAAACAGTAACAATAGATAAAAGTGGAAGAATCCATGGCGAAAAAAGGAATATAAACCTGAATGGCGGGGTTTGGGACAAATCGGAATCCTTTGGAGGTGGTGACCCCAAATCGATATAGACTTTAGACCTCTTGGAGAGATGAATGTATTTCCAAGGAGTCTAATGGAAAAACGGCATCGAAACAATGAAGGTGGTGGGGAGAAATCCCATACCTGATGGTGCTCCGGTGGTGGTGTCGATCTTAACAGGTAAGCCAGGTTTGGAGATCTGGTGGGTTTTGGATGAGTGCCGAGCAGGGAGATGAACAAATATAGGAAAGAAGGCAAGCGGTGGTAAAAAAGGATCATGACCACACAACAACAAAGGGGTAATAAACCTCGATTAGAGGAGACGGTGGGAAGGAAGCGGTGGCAAGTATCTATTTGGAAGGCAGAGTGTATCTTGGATGGAAGAAGGGACGTTTGAAAGCTTGGAGAAGATGGATAAGAAAAAGGTTGAGCAGCATAAATGAAACACATATCCCACAACCACAAATTGTCGGTGTGATATGTTGCGTTGGCAATAGATAAGCAGACGGAAAAGCACCACGTAGATGGTAAACCTGGACGTGAATGCATGTGTAACCCACATTCTTGAAGAACAAAAGAAAAAAAAATAACGAAAAGTAAACCAAAAATAAAAAAGAAAAAAAAGGAAAAAACTCACCAATCAACAGTAAGAACTGTTGAATTGGGAACCTTGGATATATATATATATATATATATATATATATATATATATATATATATATATATATATATATATATATATATAATAGTAAATAAATAAATACTAGTACAACTTATATCACAAATAGGTCCCATTATTATAGTTGATGACAGTAAATATGACTTGATTTGTATTTCTATGAACATCAAAAGGATAAAAAGACTATCAACATTTTTTTTTTCGTAAAATTATATAAACCGCAAATTTGGTCCTTTAGGATTCGCTAAAATCTTTGGATGGAGTTCAAAAGTTGAAAAATCAAAAATTAAAAGTATCTCGTGAATTTGGTCCTAAAATCAGATTTTTTTTTTAATTTTTTTATAAAGTTGGTTCTTGATGGACTTTAAATGACGATTTTACCATTTTAATTTCTTTTTTTTTTAATATTTTTCCATATTTATTTTAATACTTAGTTAAATAAACATAAAATAACAAAAGAGTTGGCCCACCCTACCGTCCCCTTTTTCTCTCTTTCTAACCTAACCTAAAATATATTTTCATCTAAACCCAGATGCTTCAGAGTCTCTCGATGCCTTGTTCCTCCATCCGACCACCATCGACGACCAGTGGAGAACACTCTTCCTCCGTTAACCAAGCGGCCCGGAATTTTCGTCTCTTCCCTTCCCTCTGTGCCAATATCTTTCTCTCTGCCGTCATCGAGCTTCATCTGCACCGTTACGCCGTCGAGCTTTCTCTGTGTTGTTCTCTTCCTTGACGATAAACATCAATGTTGCAATTGTTGTCTAATTTATGGATTTCAGTTTCATGGTGGTTTCAAGACTCACTTGCACTTTTCAACTGAAACGGGTTGAGCATTGCTTCTCTTACCAATCGTCAAGGTATATGATTTCTTTGAGTTAGAGATTATTGATGATGTATGTGTCATTCCATAAGGTTACATCAATAAAGATAAAAATGCTTGGAGATGGATTTTCCTCAGAGGTGTTTGATCATTTTGTAATTGGTCTTCCCTCTTATTTGGAAGAATTTTCTACGAGTTATCCCCAAAGAGGATCGTTCTGATCAATGTATTTTAACAGAACATGAAGAAGGGAAAGACTCTATTGAATGGCATATGCATGTAATATTCTCTAACACTCTAGATCATGATTTGTGAAGAAAACACACACATGAAATTTCTGAGAATAAGATGGTGGTCGGATTTGCAGGTAGAGGAAGAAAAAGTACAAGCAGATGAAGGAACCTCTAACACTGGCACTCAACTCAAGGATGAAACTTTGCTTGAACCAATTGACGAATCATTACCTCTTAGACGTTCCAGTTGAGTTAGTGTTCCACCCGTATCGTATGGTTTTCATATAACTAATGAGGGTGATACGTATATTAGTGACAGTACACTAATAAACTTGGATGAACCTAACAACTATAAGGAAGCCATGGCAGGCCCAAAGTCTGCAAAATGGAAAGAGTCGATGGACAACGAGATTCAGTCCATGTACGATAACTAAGTTTGGAGCTTGGTTGATCATGTACCAGGTCTTAACACGGTCAGGTGCAAAAGGATCTTTAAGAAGAAGATCGACATGGATGGGAATGTGCACACTTATAAGGCGCGATTGGTTGCGAAGGGCTTTACTCAAACTCCCGAAGATAAAGTCTATTAGGGTAATGTTGGCCATTGCTACATTTCATGACTATGAAGTATGGCAGAGGATGTCAAAACCGCTTTCCTTAATGAAAAGTTGGATGAGGATGTTTACATGGCTCAACCAGAGGATTTTGTCAATGCAAAGCATCCCAATAGAGTGTGTAAGCTTGAGAAGTCCATTTATGGACTGAAACAAGCATCTTGCAGATGGAATATTTGTTTCGATGGGGAAGTTAAAGAGTTTGGTTTTCTGCGAAGCGAAGATGAATCATGTGTATATGTCAAAGCCAGTGGGAGTATAGTAAGCTTCCTTGTATTGTATGTCAATGACATACTACTCATAGGAAACGACATCCCGACGCTGCAGGAAGTTAAGTCCTGGCTTGGGAAGTGTTTCGCTATGAAGGAGCTCGGAGAGGTTGCATATATTTTGGGAATAAAGATAGTGAGAAACAGGAGTAAAAGACTAATAGGACTTAGTCAGAATACTTACTTGGACAAGGTACTAAAACGTTTTAGTATGGAGAATTCCAAAAAGGGGGAGTTACCAATCCAAAGTAATACCAAGTTGAGTAAGACTCAATGTCCGAGTACCGGAGTCAAGATAGCAGAGACGAGCCAAGTACCTTACGCTTCAGCAGATATCAGGGGAACCCTGGCAAAGCACATTGGACCGCAATTAAGAATATTCTTAAGTACCTTTGGAGGACTAAGGAATGGTTTCTAGTCCTTGGTGGGAGTGATGACTTAAAGGTGCGAGGGTACAGTGACACCCGTTTTCAGACTGACAGGGACATCTATCGTTCGCAGTCGAGCTGGGTCTTTACCCTTAATGGAGGAGCAGTGACATGGAAAAGTTCCAAGCAAAGGACCGTAGTTGATTCAACGTGTGAATCATAGTACATTGCAGCGAGCGAAGCGTCAAAGGAGGCAATATGGCTGAAGAATTTCATTGGAGACCTTGGAGTTGTGTCATCCGTACAGGAGCTTATGGAAATTTTCTGTGATAATGAAGGAGCGGTTTCCTTGACCAAGGAACCGAGGGATCATGGCAGATCTCGGCATATCAACATAAAATATCACTTTATTCGATATCGGGTAGAAGAATGAATCCTCATAGTGAAGAGGGTATCGTTGGAGGATAACCCAGCAGATCCGCTTACGAAGGGGCTGGGTAGGGTTAAGCACTTGCAGCACTCTAGGAGCATTGGGATGAAGGACGATATTAGTTTAGATTAGATGGTTAGAAATGTGTAATAGATAAATTGTAGTTAACATTCGATGATTAAATAAATGGGTATTATTTATGAGTAAAGTTACTGTATTATGTTAATCATTTACCTATTGTTTCATTTTGCATGTTTTGACTTCCTGAATAATTAAAATTATTCGAACGGTCCACAGTAGTTCATATGTTGGAAGTAGGTATGAATGAAGACTATCATGCATTGGTGTGTAGATTGTCTAAAGTGTATTAGACATAGAAAAAGTTTGTTGCAATGTTCATGAGTGCTTGTGAATAAGATTTAAGCATTGGAATAAACCCACGGTTGCTGGAATCACTTCATGGAATTTATCACGAGTGATCGCAAAACGATAATATATATAGTCTTAAAACCTAGATATATGGTTTATTGCTTGCTAATTGGTTGTACATTGATAATGCGTAAACTTTATCACTAACTTGATGTTATAAAATGCATTGTTGTGTATGATTTGATTACTAAATGGTAAATGCATATAAGTCGAAGTTTATCTGTTCCTTTTATCCTAAGATGGTAAAAGTGATATCAGGACCCATCGATGATTTGGTTTGACTTATGTGCCTGGCCCAGTCAGGACTGAATTGATGTGTTCAATTAAGTTTTATGTCAGACGAATCTGAGATCGAGAAACAAAACTGATGGACAATAAGTATAACTGTGTTCCATGTAATTGTCCGCATGATATCTAGAATAGAGGATTATACGATCCCTTATCTAAAGGACATGTTATTGATAAGATCAAGAGTTTTGAGAACTGCAATTGCTAATCAGATCCAAAAGTTACATTTTCATTTGTAGTTATTAGACTTATCCAAGTGGGAGACTGTTGGATTAGTGTCTAAGTCCATAACTATATTTGGTATGTACTTGACCCGGTTGTGCATGGTCCTTTTGGGTTACCTTCACTAAAGCAGTTTGACTAGAGGAATAATAGAGAAAGAGGTTATTATGGTTTATTAAAATATTACAAGACTAATATATTAAAAGAGAAATCATAGTTGTTTAATTAAAAATGGTCAAGAATTGATTAAGAATTAATTTTGTGATCAAAAGAAGTTAATTGAACTAGGGGGACTGAATTGTAATTATGTGATAGTTACAAAGTTGGGAAAGGAAACCCTAAATGATAGGGTCGACGAATTCAAAAGAATAAGGCCTTAAGAATTCATCCATAATGGGATTCTAGAATTATCTTATGGGCTGCTTGGTGGCTAAGTAACCAAATAAGGATAATGACTGAAACCCTAATTCCTACACCTATATATGAAACGACCCAAAATACGACCCAAAAATTTTTGTTTTAATATTACTAAAAATCACATCATCGAATGTCATATATAGTAAGAACCATGGAATGAGTAACTTAAAAGTCATAGTAACTGTGTCAAAACAAAAATTGTATCAATCATATCAAAATATCTGAATAAAACTCCCAGGATAAAACTGAAGCTGTGGTGTGTGCGATGCCATCAACTCGAGCTCTTCCCTTTGCTAGCGGAAGTACCTAAAACCAAAACTGAAACGGTAAGCACGAAGCTTAGTGAGCTCCCCCAAACTACCACATACCATAGAATAACATATAAACAACTATTAGGCCTTGCCCACTGCATCAGACCGAAGTTCGGAAACTACATCGGACCGAAGTCTGGAACTAACCAGGGCCTTGCCCTTTGCATCGGACCAAAGTCCAGGAACTGCATCAGACCGAAGTCCGGAACTGAATGGGACCTCGTCCCTGCATCGGACCGAAGTTCGGAATTAACTCCATCGGACTAAAGTCCGAAACTAACTACATTGGACCGAAGTCCAGAACTGACTGGGACCTTGTCTCCTGCATCGGACCGCAGTCCAGAAACTGACTGAACATAGCATAACATAAACATATCAACTAGCATGAACATATATATTGCACACTGCATCGAACCGAAGTCTGAAACATATAACACAAAGACATGCTTGAATCATAAAGACATCA